TACCAAATTGTTAACCTTTTCTTTCTGTTCTCAAAACTTGATTGCATGGTTCCCTTACCTGAACATACACTTTTGAAATACAAGGGGTCCTCAATTTACATCGGAGTTCCGTTTTACGGTGCTAACAGAGCGGTAACTTCTTCATCTAGTTCAGGGGTGTCAAACTCATTTTCACCTGGGGCCACATCAGGAATACAGTTCCCCTTGAAGGGCCGGTTGTAACTGGAAGATTGTATAGATATCAGGGGTCCCCTGAATACCCTGAATACCCGGCCTGAATACCCTGAATACCCAGGCCTGAATACCCTGAATACCCCAGCCTGAATACCCTGAATACCCAGCCTGAATACCCTGAATACCAGCTCTGCTATTCAGCCCGTAGGCCAAAACAACAGGGAAGCACAATGTAAGGCAAAATACAAAGAATGCCGTGTTTCATGTATAGCATGGCATGACGATGTATTCCTCCTATGCAAAATATATGGGAGATGGTGACGTAACCATGAAACACTAAAGGTCGAGGACTTAAACCGAGGACCCCCGGACTTATATGCATGTTAAGATGAGGGGACGCTGGTGAGTTCTTTTTCCCGAACTTCTGCTAAGACTACAGTTATCTTAAAGAACCCAGGGCATTAGGTTGCCCCTGTTATCAGGCCCTGTGTGGAATATTAATATAAATGAAGAAAGAATCAGCAGAAAATTAGAGCTGGGGGCCATTAAAGCAGCAGCAGCAGCAGCAGCAGCAGCAGCAGGCAGTTCCCTCCTCTCAGGCACTTCTTGCGTCGCTCAGTGCTGCGTTACATTAGTCACAGTGGTAACTGTCAGCAGGCGTGAATCATTTCCATAAATCCACTGAAAGCTTTTGATAATGTAATTGGCTTGGCTTCAGTAGCTCTGTTTTTGTATAAATGTATTATTGTATCAGAGAGACAGCTGCTGTTTGGAACACTCCTGAACCAGCTCTTATCGTGACAAATTTAACGTATACAATTGTTTCCATATTGAGGATTTGCAGTGGGTTTTGAATGCAGCCGGCAGCAGATTATCAGATGTATGTACACCGAAATGCACGGACGACAGGAGTCTAAATACAGATCCATTGTTTTTCTAATGAGAGGTGAATTACATATTGCTTATATGAACATAACAAAAAACAAAACAACTTTTCCCTTCAAAAATCCCAATCATAATTATAAGGTATGGAGACTATGTGGTGATTCAGACTAATCCCCATTTTTTAGGATAAAGGACAGAACCTTGGGGTGAACATCTTGCCCAGGGATACAGTGGCATCCAGATGGTATCAAAACAACAAACTCAAGTTTGTTTACCCCCGTGTTACAATGACAATAATGACTGAATATTCTATTCTATGTTATCTTCTTCCTGTTGATGAACACCATTACTGAAACCATTTCATTCATCTTTGATGAAAACAAATCAATACTTTTGGTTGTTAAATGTAAAAATAAAATCCTTTAGGATAATTATAAATGGTCAAATTAATGATTGGAAGTCAGGTTAAAACTTAAAAAAAAAAAAAAAAAACTATTAAAAACTTAGCCTAAACCTGATAACCGGTTTTATTTTGAGGAATAAAGGTGGTGGAGTTGGAGGCAGTAATGTATTGGTGAGAAATGATAATCTTTCAGTTTGTCTCTATAAACACACCTTCATGATCAGCCGTGCAACACTTGTCCAACCCCAACACTGAAAATGCAGTGAAGTCTAAACTTTCCATTTTATCCCTGGTGTAAAACAAAAAAAAAGTCTCCTCACTCTCCACCCACATTTTGACACCACTTACCAATTGATGATGGACCGGTGGGACGGACTTGACGATTACTTTTTTTTTGTTTTATCATTTGCTGCAGGTGCTGCAGAGAGAGCGATCGAACACCTGACATTTGACACATTGTTCTTTAGAGTGAAAAACCTCTGTCCTCTGTTCTCCTCCTTAATCTACGTCATCCTTTCAGTCAGCTATATCGTTTGACGTTGTCATTGACTTTACTTAAGTTTAGCACTGTACCACCTAAGAAAACAGTGATCTCTCTGAGTACCACCATGATGACCAACAATAGAATATAGCAGCAAAGGCCTTCACTGTTAGCTTCCACCACACAGGAGAGAGGTTTAGAAAGATGTTTATGTTTAAATGTTGTATTAATTGTGCATGGTATGTTTCAGATTTATTTAATTCAAAAATGTAAATGTGAAAATACATACCACTAGTGGTAGGCGTACCACAGTTTGAGAACCACTGTTATAGACATGAGAAACGAGTTCTCATGTCTATGTTTACTGTTGAATTTCATCATCAGGAAAACACTTTTAATAGCAAAAAAATGTCAAACAGGTAATGCATCTATAAGCAACATATTATATCACATTTATTATTATAAATATATTTGTTTTTTTTTAATTCCTTTATTCAAACAAATACATTTGATTTTATTATTTCTATAGTGTTATATTTTGCTTTTTAAAATAAAAAGCAAAATAAAGTAAAAAAACAAAACAAAACAAGGACATAACATTTGTCATGTTTTTTTGCTAATATAATGTTTTAATAACTGGGTCTTTAACTTTTTAACTCTATTCCCAACACCATAAAACATTAGGAGTATAAAAGGTGGTGGATTTAAAGAGATGATGCTCCCTGTGACATATTGTAAGTTTATGTTCTGACCTATTATGCTGCATAAAATAAGAAAAAAAAAACAGGTGCAGAGATGATGCTCCAAAACGCTGAGAGCATCATGTGACAATGATGACCTTTTAATAAAAACCATACATCTGCAGGGGTCCATCTCTAACTGGACTGAAGTGTCCCCACCTTTGTGGGCAGAGGTGAAGCTGAGGTTATTTTCCAATCACATTCTTGACAATTCTGTATTTTCCTGGTCGTGAAATGTCTTTAACTTTACCTTAATGAGCTGCTTTTTATTTCAGGCTTTTTGTTTGTCCACAGCTGGTGTTTCAGTCCAGACAATAACACTGTTCTGGCAAAAACACTCCATAATTCTAGAAGAAAAGACAGAGGGATTAATTATCTCAGTCATTAACGGAAAATAAACCTGCTGCTTAAAGGATTAAACCTTCGGTACGCAGTTTTTAGGCTGCAGATACCTTTATTAACACTTTCACAGATATGGGCAGGTGTTCTTTTTTATTTATATGGTAATGAAGTATTCTATCTTTCCAGGCAGATCGGCTTCCTGTTAACTACAAAATCAATAAGAAAGAGTCTTTTGTTTGACTGTTGATGTACTCACTTGATAACAGACCTGACTTCCCCTCTAACGTTATAGCAATAACAAAAAATGAATGCTTGCATTAATGCTCACAAGGGAACCATACGATCACAAAAAGCAAGAAAATTCTGACTACAGGTGGCAGAAATGAGGAATTACAGATGTATAACTGCAGGGTAACAGCATATTAAGTCTGGCATGTAATGTGCAGCCTTGTATTAAATAGTGGGTGCTGATTATAGAATTAGGGATAGTTGGTGTGCAGAAATCAGAGGTAACTGAGGGACAGGAGGACGTGGGAGGGTCAGGACCCACTGCAGGGTCAACTAGAAGGAAAATGAAGGTAAAGATAAAATGACTGAATGTATGAAGTGACCGACGTGGCCATAAATCCTTTCAAAAGAAGAAGGAAGGTTCTTTCTTCTTTGTATTTGGGGACGTAAGTATTTTATTTCAGCTGAGAACCGCGCTGCATGGTGAAACCTGGGGGCAGCAGTTACTCCATATTATTCAGAAAAGGCATGTGTTTGCTTGGACTGGGAGTCCATACATTATGTATGATGTTGTTCATAAACACCAGGCAATGTGTCAATAATGGCGTGAGTTTCAGTCACATCCATTCTGTGGAGCGTTCTTTGGCAGGTGTTCAACGTCAACAGAGGAGAGAGGCTGAAAATGACAGTGGGAACAGAACACACACTGAAATGTGTTGATGAGGGGATGAAAACAGGTGAAAGGGTGAATGAGAGAGGAGAGGTTGAAAGGTGAGAAAAGCTGGATTAGTGCGGGACACCAGTCTGATGGTAACCCCTCATTATATGGAAGAGGCAGGCCAAGAATGAATAAATGAATGGATGGGTGACGTGAGAGAGACGTCTTACACCAGCTGAGTCCACCTGGGCTTCATTTGACAGTTGCTGTTATGAAGGAAACAATAAACTGTTACTTTTTCGTTTAAACACAAGTTAAAATTCAAACCCTTGTATTGACATATAAACACCAGATGAGAGAACTGGTTGGGTCTGTTAGACCGGAGTTTTTTATACTCCGGTCTAACAGACCCTATGGCCTTAGATGGAGCCCAGTGGTTTTAATGTGCCTGCTGTCTGTGCAAAGTCCAGTGGAAAACTCTGCATGTTTAATCTCACAGCAACACACTCTGCTGTTCTTCACTACTTTAATGACACACATGTACATTTAGCTGCAGATGACCATCCTCTCCCTCGCTCTCTCTCTTTCTCTCTCTCTCTCTCAGCTCTGTCTCTTTTTCTCTCTCTCTCAGTTGTCTCTCTTTTTCTCTCTCAGTGCAGATGACCATCCTCTCCCTCGCTCTCTCTCTTTCTCTCTCTCTCTCTCAGCTCTGTCTCTTTTTCTCTCTCTCTCAGTTGTCTCTCTTTTTCTCTCTCAGCTGCCTCTCTCTCTTTCTCTCTCTCTCTCTTTCACTTTCTCATTCTCAGCTCTGTCTCTCTTTCTCTCGCTCTCTCTCTCTCGCTGTCCTTCTCTCTCTCCCCCTCTCCCTCTCTCTCTCAGCTCTCTGCACTGCAGATATGTATTTTATTCAATCAATATTGAACTTTTTACTGAGGCTGTGCAGCATGCTTTGTGTTTGCAACCCTTTGCCAAAAGGTGTTTGATCTGGATGATCTGGAGACCAAAATCCAATCAAATCTCTCTCTCACTTTTACTCTCTCTCTCTCACGTTCACGTTTTTTCCTGCAAAAACAAAAACAACAACGTGTGTGTCAGTCATTACTGCAGTTTCCCTTGTTCTTTATTACAAGACGTTAAAATAGATGTACAGATTTATCAGTTTTATCAGTTTTGTCCAACTGCGCAGGTAAACACATTCACTGTACAGTAAACATGACTCCACTATAGTCAGGCAACAATAACAGCATCCACAGATACACTGTCACCTTAAAACAGTAGCCACTGGAAAATAACATCAGGTTTTTCTTTTTAAAGAGCAAAAGCATGACTACAGTTTGAATGAAACAGATTAACATTAAATCTCACTTCACAGCCAGCGCTTTTATTTGGAGCTCATCCATATCTGGTAACTTTAATTGGACCGACTCTGGTCGTGGACCAATGGCACTTTGGCAGTTTTCTATTCTTTGCTAAATCCTTATTTGGTGGCATCCCAGTCAAAGGTCGTCTCCAATACGGCAAAAATTAATTTTTACCCAGTCGTTGGAGTTTGGCCAAACATTCATCCCCAAAAAAGCCAGGAACGGTGAAATGTGTCTGACATTTGCCTCTCAGTTTAAAAATCTCTAAATCTGTTACCAGTCAGACATGTAAACAAGGCCCAAACGCATTCCTAATTTGTTAAAAAAAAAAAAAAAAAGCCTCTGCTGTATCATTGTCAGAGGTGGCCATCATACTGTATGTATTTACAATCATGAAATCTTGGCCCACGTGGATGTGCTGACTAGGTGTGCTCTATTATTCCTGCAGTGATAGAAATGCAGACATGACAAAAGCAACACTGAAAGCAACACAATACAGAACATTGACTGTTAATGGCAAAAGTGGCCACAATATATTCATATTCATTTAGTAAAAGATAGATTTATCGGCATCACGTTACGTTTTTCTTACACACTATATATTTAAATAATTACTGTCATAAGCGGCAGTGCTGAATTGAAACAAAATGATATAAATGAACAACATCAGTTTTAGGGCACACTGTATGTAACTGTTGATGAAATACATTTACATACATGGTAAGGTCATTAGTGTTGTTACATTTACAAAAGTTATTAAACATCAGATGTTCGGAGTGTGTGTTTGTGATGTTTGATAGTCATTTGATCTGTTTTATACATTTTTAATTAACATCCTACTGACAAACATATGATCAAAGCTACGGCATAAAAAGGCAGAGTGTCATTGCAAGGATCTTTTTTTTTGTTGTTGTTGTTTTTTTTTACATTAAAACACATGATACAACAGTAGAACTACCACTGTAAAAATTTCCTCCACACCAGTATTTTCTTTTGTCAAGGACACACACTCGTAGTCTCAAGATTACACTATGTTTCATTGTAAACATGTCTCCATTAAAGTATATATAACATAACACACAAATACAGTTACTTATATCATCACAGTCCAGGGGGGGTTTAGAAGTTGCAACATCCCACAAAATTCATCTAGACATGGGAAAAACAACACACTCTGTACATGTGGTGGTAGATGGTGATAGGAGGAGCCTAAAAGTGAAGCAGAAATAACCTTGACCGACCAGTAGGGGATGTCTCTGCTGGTTATTGTGACTGTTGATTGAATTTGGATCACGTTTTGTGTCATTTGTTATTCTGATAATTGTGCATCATAACCGGACTGAGAATCGAAGGAACAAACAACCCCCAGGGTGTGTTTCAACTAAGGTTTGGAAGAATTAGACTTGTTTACCTCTTCTATGGTTTAAACCAGACAACATGTTCCATCTATTAATATTTCTTTTGCCATAAGGTTTATGGACTCCAAAAAGTACACAAGCAGAAGCTAAAATGATGTGCCGTACCCCAAACACAGCTGCGTGGACGACTACGGTAAAGCATGATTTTGAACAACACATTTTTATCAATGGAGTTCTGTGCCAGTGATGCATGAGTATAATAAGAACACAGGGAGACAGACCTTGTGTGTGTGAGTGTGTGAGTTCATTGGCTGCTGTGCGGGAGGTGAATGTGTGTTCGCCTGCTCCTCCTATCTCCTCTCCTCTCCTCTACCCTCCTCTCCTCTCCTCTCCTCTCCTTTCTGCTGCTGTAATTAGCCTGATTAGAAGATGAGGGACAGAAACAGAGGAAGAGATGTACTGATGAGAATTTTCACCCTGCTGTGCAGCTTGCCTGGCGCCTCTCCACTGCAACCTGTCAGCGTTTGTCTGTACCACTACAACCACAGACGGTGACAACTCCAAAAATGCCAATAAAGAATGGCAATAAGTCCTTAATGTAAAGTTTGGGTTTCTTCTTGCATATTACGTATATTACAACTTGATGTATTTGTCATAAAAGCGGCCTTACTTTGTTTCTGTGCCCGAATGACTGCCATTGTTCTAAGTCTCTTATTAAAAATTGATGCCATGACATGCAATTAACTCTGTTATTGAAGCAGATGAGCCGTGTAATAAGAAAAGAAAAAAATCTCCTCATCATGAATGTTTTTATACTTGTGTTCAGTTAAAGTAGAAACCAAAAATGAGTGTAACCTAGAGTTTTACAATCTTACAAATAAAAAATGGGATAATAAAAGCTTATAAAAAATTACTTTCTAGAGTTTCATTGTTTTCTTCTTGAACATAACATTTTCATCTTCTCTGAAGTAGTGGCTGTATACACACTGAACAACACAAGATTTGCAGTCGTTTGGAACAAGAAATCAAAAACATTTTGGCTACTTTTACCAGTATGTTGTGTCATTAACAATGTATTTGATTAATTAATGTGATTTTAACATAAAGGATGGTGTATAGTGTTTTACGAATGACATCATCAATCTAAATACTTATGCGTATGTAAAAAATATACATGCTGGGAAAATCCTCAGAAATACTGGACATTAATATCTCTTGTTGCTACCATTAAAACATCATGTTATCAGATCATGTCAATATTCTAGCAGACAGCATCAAAGTCAGGGACGTGATCAGAAAGTCCCACAGTGATTTTTGGGAAAACAAGTCATTACTGACCTGATGACTTGTATAGGACTTTTATTTCCCCAAAGCTCAGAGGAAAATGTAACTGACATTAAAGTCAACATGAAGGAAAAGATCATCATCGCTGGTGGATGACAAGTAAATATTATCCTCTCATGTTCACTGTATATTGTTTCCTCTTCTCTGGTCAATGTGACCTTTCTTTCTATTTATCTTGGTTTTATGAAATATATATCCTTGTCACTTGTAAAGGAATGAACCTTGTGCTGAGACAGTGATGGACCTGCAGACCTTATCAGCATTCTGTAGAGCTGGGATTTTTGAAAATAAATGTTTTTGTGGTTTATTTTCTGATGTTTGACATTCTGATAAAAAAGGGCCTGATTAAGATTGTTTTCATCATGTAAGTAGTGACAGTAGCAACTAATGAATCATAGGTGGATTTAAGGCAAATATGACGTCCATTGCTGTTAGTTCAATTCATGTGAAATGTAATTTGTCAAGACTTTTGTCGGGGCCATAACAGCAGGTGGGGCTGGAAAACCCAATGACCAAACATTTTTGAGAACCACTGGTTTAAGGTCATGGTATCAACTAGTCAGTTCACATGTACGTCAGCATTTGTTTGGAGAAAAAAAAATTATAGAGATACTTCTGTCTGGATAAAGACAGAGTGTTGGAGTTTGTGCCTAAAAACATTTAAAAATGTTTACCACAATGTGAAGTTTAAAGACATGTCATTATCCAACCTAAAAGTCTGCAGCACTCCAGCACTCCACCCCAGCACTTTTCTGTAAAGTATTTGTCACTCATAATTAAGTAAAAGCTCTCTAAGAGATTTTCACAGAAACCCTAATTTGATTGTGAAACAAAATGTAATTCTGTAAAAGAGTTTGTCCCTGTGGTTCTATAAACATCACCTGCTTCACATCTGCTGCATAGTTTCACGTCAGCTGACAGAGGAATTTATCACAACAAGCTTTGTGGCTGAGAATAGATGGGAGTTAGGAGGGCGACGGTCCATGTGTGTGTGTGTGCGTGCGTGCGTGCGTGCCACAGACTGACAGACAATGATGAGTGTCAACAGGTGACAATTCTTTGCATGCATGAGCACGTGCCGTACCCGTAGAGTGCAAGGGAAATTCACCTTGTAACCTGATTATTCAGGCAGTGAATGTAACACGTGGCACACTTCTTTATCTAATAATAAAATGTGTTAATTCTGACTTGATTTCTGATGCAGAAGATGAAATTTATTTTTTGAACCCCCTTTCTGAACCTCTCAGTATTCATTTAGAAACCACTACGACTTATTAAAACAGATTTTCTGCCCTCTGTGACACAGATGGAATATTTGTCTGTTAAATGTAGCCTAACTGTTTACAGCAGATAAGGCTGGCTGTTTGTTATGTGCACAGCAAAAATGCAAATCATGTGGATTCAGTTAAAAGTCCAACTGTAGGTCACTGGGGTCAAAATTATTTTGCCGATGAATAATTTTGTCCTATTTAATTTCAAGCAATAAAACTGACGTACGAGCCGCAGCATCTTGAAAAGATTATTTATACGTTTTATAAATAGAACACATTGAAATGAATGACTCTTGACAAGATGGTGGTGGTGGGTTATTATGTGGAATCAGTTTATAATAATACTTTACGTGTATGTGTGTGTATGTGAAAAAACCATGTTACCACTAAAAATGTGAGCGCTCGCCCAAAACACACAAAAATATATAATGTATATATATAGCCATGTTTTTACCTGATATGGACTCTTTACCTGAATATTTCTTTTATGTATGAAAGTCAAAGTAAAGCCGTGCCTAAAGTTTGAGGTTCACTGTTTGCTGTGTCCAAAAAGCAGAAAAATATTTGTTTTAAAAAACAGAGAGAACAGGTCTGGATGTTTTGGTGGCTAAGCTGCAAAACCAACAATGGTTTTTTCTTAACTCTTAAATGGGCTGAAATCTATCAATAACACAATATTTTGTAAGAAGTTGATGAGCTGCTGGGTTGTTGGCTGTAACTTGCAAAACACCTAGAAGTACACCGGACTCTGTAGCAACTATTTCTGATCAGTTGTTGGAAATCTAAGCACATTTAAACGTTTTAAAAAGTCAATTCATCTCAGCTCACACTGTTTTGGGCTTTTGTTTTGGAAGTGAGATGGACACCATAGTCTAGGTTCATGAACTTATTTGAGGACATGGGTTTCACCTTGGACCTGGGTGGAGGCCTGATGAAGAAACTGTGGACACACATGTACAGAGCTGTGAGGAATAGTGAGTGACCGTTGTATGCAGGACTAGGTTTGCTGTCAATCTGTCAATTCTTACGCATGTTAATAGTTTTGTTTTCAGTCCAGTTTCAATCAGTTCATATTACTCATATTAGAGTACCAAAATAATTCATCTCCACAACATCATGTCAAAGCACGGTCTTCAAAAAAATCCAAATTGCCTCGTCGTGCTGACGACACTTCACCCTAAACGTAGAAGTAACTTGCAACTTGCATTTAACTTGAGGTGGATGAACTTTCACCTGCTCCACTGTCCAGTCTGGACTGACGTCTCACTCTGGGCAGTTTAGCTTCCTGTGTTCTCTGTAGACCTGATGTTACGACGTTCAAAGATGATCTTTCCTGCTGTTGCAAAGTAATGTTTATTTGACTGGAGGCTGATCTTGATGGTTGACCTGTCAGGTGATGACCAGACCTCTCCAATCAAGTCGGCAGGAGATCTTCAGAGTCCCATTCCAGCCAGGAAGGAACTCAATCTCTATTTTAGTTTGAGGAAAACCTGTCTTGTTGTTACATGTTTAAGATTGAATATTTTGCTCTGCACACACACACACACACACACACACACGCACGCACGTGCACACACACACAGACACACAAGTGAAAGTGAAACCGCTGTTTTTCAGTGTCTGCTGGTGAGGGACTTCCTGTGAAAACCTTCCTGTGAGAACATCTAATGAAAAACAACTCACTTTTATTTTACTTTTTTCCTCCTCTCAGGGAGCGCAATCTGTTAGAACAGAATGCTACTCTGTGTCACAGCCCGCTCTTCTCTGGGTAAAGCTCCTCTCTCTAAAATAGGCTGTGTGAAGTCACACAGCTTGTGTGACTTAGGATGTGTGAAGCTTTTCTCTTCATTGAGAGAAGATGAGAAGGTGGTGTCTGGTGTGAGGAGCTGATGCTGTGAAGCTCAGCGGCGCCTGCTTCAGTTTGGCTCTTAAACTGGAATGTGCTTGTGTTGTTAAATCTTCTGAATCTCTCCGATGAATGTTGATCTGGTCAGAAGCGTGAGGCTTAATACAGGGCGATGGGGTAAAGATGAAATCTCTGTCCCTGTCCTTACAGAATGTTCCGGTGAACTCCTTAGACTTATCAAACACTTGCAGATGAAGTCACACATTCACAGCTCACTCAAAGACAGACAGGCAACATATTCTCCAGAGAAACTCCACTTTCATCAGTCTATTCCTGCATGTTGTTGCTGGAGTAGAAACTGGAAGTTTCTGACACTGTCTTGGAGACACTTCTGGATGATGTCCCATTGGACGTCAGATCCAGGGAGAAGCTATGAGGCCCTGCCCGTACCGCAGCGCCACAGGAGCCTGGGAACGCTGCAGACTTGATTTTTGAATGCCCCATTTCATCTGCGACCTGGAGAACAGTAGATACGGTGGTCTCCATCCGGCTGGCCTTGTAGACGCTGGTCTGAGTCTGAAGGTAGCGAGTGGACTTCATCTCCAGGCCATCGTAGGAGCCTTCAGGGACACATGGGCAGCAGTGGAAGGCGTGTTTGAAACCGGCACGGAACCTAAGACCAGAGGGACAGAGAATTCTTATTTTGTTATAAATATTATGGTTGATTTAAAATAGAAGGCCATCATTCGTTTACATGGAGTGTGTCTAATATTATGCAGATGAGTGCTTAAACAATGATTCTTGAGGTTATTTTCATCAGATTATTGTAACTCTGGAACATGAATGAATAAAAGCGAGTAACATCCCACTCTGTGTGAGTGATTTGTGGAGCAGCAGTGTGTCAGCCACGACTCCGATAAGAACAAATATGGATTTGACTTTTGCCCATGTTTGAACTGTAGTCAAACACAGTCAGTAGTGTTTTTGGTGTCACATAAAAACCGGGAGGTTCTGTTGAAAGAGCAAATGCTTATTTTGAAATTTTGAACTTTTTTTAATTATTGGATTGTACTGCTTTTTATTTATTTTGTGCTACAACAATAACAACAGTCTAAAGTAAAGGTATTTGGGGTTTTTTCTTTTTTTTTGAAGGAAAAGTCAGTAGTGATGGTTAAATTATTAATGGACATTTTTTGGGGTGAAACACGACAGGTTTCAACCTCAGACGTACAGAAATCACAACTTGGCTGTAACAAAGTACACAAACACAAACAAACACAAACTGAGGTTCAGTTGTTTAAGTCATAACTAATTTGCACACAGTAGAAAGTGTGAAAACTAACCAACTGTATGAACTAAAAAATCTCTGGTGAATATATTTGTTTAACTTTCTTTCAGACCATCTGACCAACTTTTTTTATTGACAACAAATAAATGTGAAACCTCATTAAAACATCATGAGGACGAGAACTGACGATGACAAAAAAGATTCTTGTTCATCTACATTTTTGCAGCAGTGAATTTAAATGCATCAGCCCTGTATGATGATCTTCACGCTGCTTCAGTACAATAACGTTCTGTGTAAATTCCGTTTGATGTTGACACACTTATTTACATAGGGGTAAATTCACACAGTCTTAATCCAATCTGTGTTTGCATCTCACAATAACAACATTCCACTTTTGTCCAACCTCCCACCAACTGACAACACAGTTTACAACACAGAGCCACGATTAGAAGTAAAGCCACCGCAGATAGAGGGCGAGAGTGAGTGAAGCACTGTTAACAATCTCATTACGTCTGCATGATGTGTTTGATACACACTTTCTGAATGATGTAGTAATATTAGGACATACAGGGGTAGATCTCCTTCCCACTATTGTTATTGCATCTGAACAACAACACGAGTGTGATTAATTAAATAAAGAACAGGGATGTAATTAATTAAATATTTTTTTCTTTCTGATCAGCTGTATTTTTAGAACACACTTCTCGGGTGAAAGTCCATGAGGGCTACTTGGTGACCCCGGTCCCTATGTTTGTGACCCCTGCACTACGGTGCAAATGCAAAAACAAGAGATTGTAAGAGGTTGTTATTTTACCCACTCAGACAAATCTGACTGTATGCGGGTGCATACAAAATAAACTAAAGACAGAAGACAAAAAACGGCTGATGGCTGACGACATCTCAGCAAACATTTAAAATCCAAACAAATAGGCCAGGAGGAGAAGATGGAAAAGAGAGGATGGGGGAGAAGAAGAGGTGAGAGAGGACTAATGGAAAAAAGAAGAGAGTTGAGGAAGAGGTCCAACAAAGGGCCATGCATTTGAATTCAAATCAGTCCAGGTAATGGAGAAAGAAGCCAGTCAATATCCTTTACAGAATATCTAAAACTCCACACACTGTGGACCAGATGAAACAGTATTTTTTTTTTTGGGATTTGATTCCATTTCACTAGCGAAAACAAACCAAGTGAGAAATCCCACATCTCCGACAGCACAAAGACAATTAACAGGTGGCTGCGATGAGTGAGACAATGGGAGATGATTGATCATCGACAGCCAGCAGAGCTGACCATCTGCCTTTATTTAGCCAAATCACCATCTTTAAAATCACTCACTTTTTAAATGACAGGCTCTTCCCACATCACTGCTGCAGTACTTTTTCACAGTTGGATTCAGTTAGTTTCAGGGATGGGATTTGAATTTTTGTTTATGACACCATGAGTTTATTTCAACTAAAAGTTTCCCTGGTTTCTCTGTAGACAAATGGTCCAAAAATGAGGATGAGCAGATTTCTGCTTCTCATCTGCTCGTCATTATGTCTGTGTGTGTGTGTTTCATCGGCTGGAGTCTAGAAGGTCAGTAAACAAGAAAACAAATTCCCTCCCTTCTAGATATTTGTGAACTTATCTTAATTCTTGAAAAATCCAAAGAAAACTAATAAGCACGCCTTCTAACTTAAATAAAAGTTAGAAAAGTAAACTTGAGTTAAAGTAAAATGTGTCACACTTGGGTGCATTGTAGAAAGGATAGTACAATGAAGATGTAAAAATGAGCTGAAATAAGTAGCCTGACAGACTATGAGAACATTGCCCTCAAAGGGTCTTAAGGTGACTAGGGACTGAGTAGAATTTAAAAGAAAAAAAAGTAAAGTGAAATTAAGTCGGTATAAGTATACATAGATAAAATTCCTCAAACTAACAACCCAGAAATTAGCCGAAAGATTAACATGGAGTAGCTAAAATATTAGTTACATGTTAGCCAAAAAATATTTCAAATACACCCCAATACCCCATACTGTAGGAACTTAGCTAGGTAAAGAATTAGCATATCAATACAGTTAGCATCAGCACTGGTGACCAATAAAGGATGTGTTTGCTGACTCACCTGTCGTTGAGGCAGCAGTAGATGATGGGGTTGTACATTGTGGAGCTCATGGCCAGCCACATGATGGCCAGGTAGAACTGCTGGGTGAGCCTGACCTCAAACATGTCAGGAAGGAACTCGTACAGCAGGAAGTAGACGTGGTAGGGCAGCCAGCAGAAGGCGAAGGTGCAGACCACCACGATCATCATCTTCACCACCTGTTGGACCCACTTAATGTCATTTTCTCTTCATTTTTATACACATTATTATAAATTTGACCAGTGGAAGCTTGGTAGATTAGTAGACAGTATTTAGAATATGTATGGTACTCCACGATAAAAACATTCAGGAACCAGTGAATATGTACATTCAACATCTTTTAGGATCTGAATGTATGTTTATAAAGAGAAATACAATGTATTTTCTTTTTCTTCTCAGGGCAGTTTCACCTGTCCAATCATATTTTGGTGAGGATATGCATTCATGTCCTTCAATGTTTCACAAATCAAATTGATTATTTTAGTTAATAGTGAGTTATTTAATTTGCTATTTGTTCATTAAGGTTACCAGTTTGCATTAACCTGTAATTCTTTTGACTATATTGTTTTTATTATTGTTTATATTTTTCCCCCCACAATGTTTTTTTATTTTTTACACATCAGTTAGTCTAGTTGAATCATGTGAATCAGTTAAACATTTATACTATCATAAAAATACAATCTCTTCTTACTTTATAAATATGTATGTACAATGTCTACTCGTCACATCAGTTGACACGTTGTTGTACTCAGACTGTTGAAGTTCAACCTCTCTGCTCTGTGATCACTGGTCACTGGACAAACTGAACCATCTAGATCTGCTGAATGTGTCCAGGAAAAGACTCTTTGAACTTTCCATTTGTCAGAATGGAAACGTGATCCACATGGACACTTCATTAGTGCTGTCAATAACACAGAGTTGAATATAACGTACACGGACAGATGTGAAGACAGACACAGTGTGACACAGGTACAGGGGCTAAAGTGAGAAATCAATAAGGACAAACTGGAGACAGAAAACAAAAATCACAACAATCACAGTATGTGTGATATAAAAGAGATAAAAACAGGAGGTGTTCAGGCAGTACAGCGCCCAAAAGGTTCAGAATTCAAGTTCAGAAAAAAAGGTATTTTCTTGAGGCACCAGGTGCTGAGGAAACACACCAAAGTGAGTAAATCTACCATCTTAGCTATGTCACCTAGAATATTCTCTGCCTCAAATCAGTTTTCTACAGATTCAGAAAACTTTATTAATCTTACAGAATAATAGATAAGGACAATAAGTGGCACATAGAGTAAAAGGACAAAAAAGTATAGAAAAAAACCAACCAAGCCACGTAGAAGAAGAAGTCTTAAAATGGAAGATATGTAGATAAAATAAAGAGGATAAAACAGAACATAATTAGTTAGGGATGGGGGGCGTTACCTAAGGAACGGCATGCTGGGTAAGAGTTAGGACTGGAGGTGCTCTCGGAAGAGGTAGGTATAGGTTTTTCCACCTGCTCTGAATGAGAAGAATCTGGATCGCCTTGTTTGGGGTCTTAGCATTCCCTTGAAGAATGGAGCAGTTGTGGTGTAACACGTTCATCGAATCCAAGAAAATATATTGCACACGAAAAAATAATTTTGTGTTTGTAACAACCGCTGTGCATGACTATAAATTCTGAAAAGAATATATGACCATATTTATTTATTTTTTTAATCACAATGTTGTGTTCTTTAGGTTTCTATATTAAAAATGTTCAATGTCACACGCCTTTTGAAATAAAGTAATGGCTTTGCGAATTCTATGGCTTTTATATGGTGAGTCAAACAACATAACATATTATCATAGGACTCTCTAATATTAGCACTGTGGGTAGGAGGTGTAATATTTGTATCCTTGTAAAGGACTATGGTTTTATTAGGCAGAGGACAGTGGGTGTGAATGTGAACCCTGTAACCACTGGGTTACATTGTTATAAAGACCTGAATCATTAGCCCAACCAGTCATGTGGTTCTGCCCGACAGCGAGTCTTCATACAGACTCGACACAAGCATTATGGAAAAACATTCTGAAATACTCCTTGTGAGAATTAGAGCATGGCTATGTCATGAAACGTCACTAGCTTGAATGACCTGGCAAATACCAGTTGGTAACAGAGCTACTGCTGTTTGTCCAAGAGCCGTCAGCATTAAGCTGCAGCTGCCTTACTGGGAGGTTGACAACATTCTACATGTGGGGGTCGGTCAGAGCCATGCTGACAGTGTTTGAAACAAAATGAATAAAATGTAAATGTTGATGGTAGACTTTACATATGCATAATTGCCCAAGAACAAATAAAATAAAATGGAGTTTAGAGAATAAACTCTTCTATTTTGGAGCGAGAATCCCAAGTCAAATTTTATACAGACAACACCGTCCAGAGAAGACAAATTAACTACACTGATGTCTTCACATCTCTGATTGTAATGGAGAACTCATGCACTCAACACTAAGAGTTATACAAATTGCAGTACAAATTGTAGCACTTTAACAGTGAGACTCACTAAAATGTATGAGAAAGTTCAGCCAAAGATAAAGAAAAGCCTTTGCAAGTGTCCTTCATGGTCCATATTCTCTACAGAGCTGCAAAACCAAAACTGTAAACCCGTGACCAGCAGGTCATGGGAACTTGAGAGGAAAGGAGTGGGAAATAGGTTGAAAAGGCTCAGAACAGATCTGATGGTGAAAAGAGAAAGTAAAGAGGCTAAACTGAGTTGACGAGAGACAGGGAGTAGAAAACATTGATAAGTAGTAAATAAAAAATGCATTTAGGTTTTTGTGCTGTTTTCAATCTTCTGCCTGTGTATAAATAGTGAATGATACATATACTGTGGATGTTTTCATATTCGATACTGATACTGCAACTTGGAGTAGCTGTGGATGCAGATATTAATGTGATGCCATCTTTTCTCCTCCAGCTGCTGTGGGCTGCTCCTGCCGAGGTGATAATGTTCCTGCATTTGGCCTTCAGTATTGTTCCACCCTGAAATTCTGACAGTCCAGTATCAGTCCACTAGCCATTCCTAACACATTTGAACGCTCTGGCAGAATGACGTACACTGTATGTGTATGTCTATATCTACATAATCCCACTGCCCGTCCTCTTGTTGCTGCTCTAATACACAGTCCATACACGTTGTTGTTTGGTTTCACGAGGTACACAGAGCTTAAGATACCGTCTCAAATCCCAGCATGTGTTTGTGGAGGCTTTAACTTCAACATCTGATTCCTGCTCACATCAGACCAGTCTGTGAAATGGACTGAAGTGGACTGTTGATATTGTTGAGGACGTTTTTAAAGACACACCGTGTCTTCTACAATGGTGATATGCAGAGAAATGACAGAAATCCACCAACTCTACTGTATGCAGCTAAATGTAGAGTTTTTTAAAAAAAAGAAAATTTAAATAAAAAGCAAATCATCCAGAGAAACGAAGCTCAGAACATTACCTTTCGTTTAGCGATCAGCTGCTCCCTATAGCGATCGGAGGAGTCTCCAGGGATCTCACTGGCCCAGAGGGTCATCCCCACCACCAGATAAGCACAACCCATCACCAGAAGAGGCAGGAAGTAGATGAGGATGGCCACACACACGTAGTACCTGCATTAGACACACACATACACATACAGGATAAATCCCAGGATATGTAGAAATAAAAAAGAAATAGCGATATTGGCTCCACTGCGTTAATAAAACTTGTTAATAAAAAACTGGATACAGTACTGTAGAATACCTATTACGGTCTGTGAAACTAAATGTCTTAATATTTCAGTGTATCGATATTTTCTTAAACAACAATTTATGAATTTATGAATAACCAATGTGAGGTAACTGTACCTTTGATGTTCAACACAGACTAGATCAGCTCATCACTTAAACTTGAAAATGCAACGCTCCAATTTTAATTCTGGAAGTTTCCACCGACCTCTTGACCTTTCGTCAAGACCATAATTAACATCAGCTTTCAGAATTATCCACCTGAAGGCCACTGCTGTATCACAAACAGGCCCATACTTCTATCCTCTATCGAAATACAATTTAAAAACATTATACATGTGTTTAATCACTTATTTCAGCCCAACACTGGGCAAAGGTTATAAGTGGTTAAATCAGTGTCTTATATTGTAAATACCAGAGCTGAAAGGTGGACCATGGGTCGGGTCCAGACGAACCCAGTTGAAGTTCCAGGCCAGTCCTACATCTGATAACTGCAGAATAAAACTAACAGACTTACAAACAACCTTTTTCTACATAATTTTGTCAGTTTTCCAACTTTCCCAGTTGAACTGTGAACAGTTCATCATGGATGTGTCCTGTAATTTATTTTTATGGCCATGAATTGGTCTGGTGACGAGATGCCTTAACGAGTTCAGAAAGAAAACAGTAGAAACTCAGACAAGAAGCCAATTAGTCGGTGTGTTTGTCAAACAGCTCCTCAGAAAGTGCCTGTTTCTGTTGCTGCTGTTAGTCTACTGAGCTGAGCGTCGGAGGACGAGAACTAAGACTCAAACTCAGACAGTAAAGTTCTGAAAACCAATAGTTTCTGCCAAATTATTCTGCACTTTTTGGAGTCCTGAAGAATGCTCTCCCATGTTACCAATCTTTACCAGTTTTACATTTCAATTACCTTAATGTTACGTGATTTTGATAGTTACAATAATGCATATTGTTTCTAAAATGTCAGGGGCAGCAGTGGACACTCCTTTATGGGATAATTAAATTTGACAGTTTTGTTATGGAGTTAATATTTTGCTAATCCATCACAGACACAATGTCTAAACCAGTTAGCATACAGTACAGTGCAGTAAATCTGTTAATATTTTAAATGCCCTAACGTGAAGTTACATAGATGCTGTTTACTGCACGTATACACACATTACTATAATCATGTCATTTCTCTCTAGTACCAAACAGTGAGTTTACGGCGTGTATTTTCACTCACACTGCAGGTCATGACCCCATGACTCTGACATGCACACACTCAAACAATTAATTTCCTCCACTCTGTTCTCAGTACAGATGGGCCCTCAGCAATTAACTATAAATATGTCCATGGTACTGATGGACGAGAGCTAAGATGAACATACACTGGTTTGGCTCGCTGTATGCTCAGCCAGGGCATATACAGAGAAGAGCCTACATGAATTAATATAATGGTCTATGTAATTAATATACTTATTTTTGACATCTATGAATGTCTGGAGAATTCAGTATGCAGTTTGTTCTTTTTGGAAATTTAAGGAGTTGATATTTACATTTATTTTATATTTCTATATGTTTTTACCTAATCTAATAACTTTCAAAACAAAAATGTTTGGTATTGGCATTGTTATTAAATTGATGTAACTTTTCCCCATTTCCCCCATGCTCTTGAACGACTAACTACTCTATGTAACTGGGTCATTCACAATGTCCCGTTTTCAGCGGAGCTAAGTGCAACCAGACCTTTGGTAATGGGATTTATGTCACCCTCTCTTTTCTCCCACTTCACTCTTCATTTTTTCCCACCAGCGATAATGTAATAAAACTTAAACTTGTCTTTAATTAAATGGAGAAGTTAAGTATTTTGCCTCTTTGGTTTAATGAAACACGTCTCCGAAAGCGTTTCACCACAAGGCTGAGGAAAATTAACTGAGAGGAAATGGAAATAAACACCATTCACTTACACAGCAGCGCAAATGTCATTTGTTTTCCCACTTGTGCCTTTAGGAATCATGAATATTATCAGTGACTAGACGTGTATAAGTACAAACAACACCAGGCAATGTTGTTTGTATCAAACTTGATGGAAAACAATCACACACTCATCACACAGTCGTCACACACTGATCAGACTGGTTTTCTACAACTGTATGGAATATATTCAGGGACATTTTTTGGTATAATTTCATTTTCAAGACTATAAATAATACATTCATGTAGTTGTGAATTTTTCGGGTTTTTGTTATTTATTTAAAACTCTGACAGAAAAATGAAGACTATAACAATGACTGCTTTGAAGGTTGAGGAAAAACTCCATTCGTTCTCATTTTATAAACCATTAGGCTAAATATCCGGCTAATGCTGTGTCAAATATTTTCGTCAAATGGATGGTAATGGCTGATTCAAATTTAGAATTAAAGTCAGAATAATCACAGGGACGTTTTATAGAGTTGGTGGATTTGAGTCATTGTTGCCCAACAATGCTGTGACAGAAAGAGGGGGAGTGTCTCTATCTTTCTGTTTCTATAAATAAAGATATAATATGCTTATTTTTGATAATGGATCTATCTGAACCTGAAAACCTGAGAGTACCTTATAGGCCTGATCTCATTCTAATAAATAAAATAGATCACAACTAGAATTCAGGCAAGCTCTAACATTCAGTCATATTTATAGAGTAGTCCATTTAATGTTGAACCAATCTAATTTGGCATGGTATGCTCAGTCAAGCTCTTTTAATTCCATTAATATCCAATTATAAAAACAAGTGTTGATCCCAGGCCCTGCGACTGGCAGCTGAAGTTTTCATCTTTAGCGAGAGAGACAGAGAGAGAGAGAGAGGCAGAGAGACGGAGAGAGAGAGACAGAGAGATAGAGAGGGAGAGAGAGGCAGAGAGACGGAGAGAGAGAGAGAGAGAGAGAGAGAGAGAGAGAGAGAGAGAGAGAGAGAGAGAGAGAGAGAGAGAGAGAGAGAGAGAGAGAGAGGCAGAGAGGGAGAGGGGGGGAGGGAGGGATAGTGAAATTCCACAGCCTCTGTCTGTGCCTGATGAAATGCTGTATATTCTCATGCACAAAGCTCGACACACAGCAGCGGTGCTGAAAATGACACACGCTCAGTGACACCAGCTGTCATGTCCATCCAACAGGCAGCCTCTCCCCTCCTCCTGCCTGAGTGCTCCTTCATCCCAGCTCCTCCAGACAGTCAATCATCATCATCACAAGTGTAAATCCTTCAGAGAGAGCCTGTGGATGGATTAACTCAACCAGCTGATTTATATGATTAAAGTGGATTTGTCGAGCCGTGTGTCGATTTCAGTGTCACAGGAAAAGCACAGAAATCCATTAACAGGAATTTATCACACAAAAGATTTAGAAAAAAATTACACATCCAGGAGGTGGATGTGATTCATGAGACAAAATAAAGTTGTGTCATCACACCGATGTGTCTTGAAAACTACAGTAATTTATTATTATATAATATTATATATTCTCTTTCTGTTTCTGCCAAGAATTCATGATATTTCATTGATAAGACTAGGAAACATAACTGTTTAATTGAAGAGATGAAAATAAAACAGTATTTGGTGGACCACATTCAACCCATGGGCCTTGAGTTTGACACATATTAGTACAACTAGTTTGTTATTGCAGAGTCAGTCATTTCAATTTATGTTTTAATATCGCTGCAGCATGGAACTGGAGGAGCGACTGTCTCAAACACGGTCAGATAAGTAGTTTTAATAAAAAGTTCAACATTTTATGACTGGAAACTTAAAGCTTTGGAAAAAAAAATCAATTTTCTTCTACAACAAACACCAACGTGCTAAAGAGTTAATATCCACTCAAAGAAATCTACCATAAATATTTAATATACAGAGTACCAACTAAACTTATACGAAGTTATAACACAAACACACTCTTCTGCCGCTGTTAAACTGAAGGTAACTTTGCTCTTCTGCATTTACAAAATAAATTGATTTCTAAAATAAATTACACTTAAAACTCAAGACCTGTGGCCATTATTACTAATTATTTAACTAATTTTGTTCAGAGATATCATTAGACATTAACCCCACTACACAATAATTTGTTAATATAAATTCAATGATTCCACTCTTTTATGAGTTTTTTAAGATGAAAGTTTTATTTTATATTTATTTTCTCCTCCTTGAATCGCAACCTTAACGTGGTGGAGGGGTTTGAGTATCCGAATGAACCTAGGAGCTACTG